CAGCCCCACCCCCCGACTGTGAAAAGTTCTTGGTAGTGGCCGTTGAATCATCCAAGCATCTCTCGATGGAGCCGCGAACCGCGCACTGCAGAATGCGACCTACTTTTGATCATGGAAATGATAAGACGGAGCTGGAGGTGCGATGAAAGGAGCCTTTCAAATCTTTCCGCGACCAAGGACACGCGACCTCGCTGTGCTTCCGCGTTGAGAAGATGACACGCCGGTAGGTTAGTTCTTAATTGTGTGTCATCCACCTGAATGCCGGGGACAGGCTGTCATGAAAGTTCTGAAGATGCGGCTGTGTGCAAGCTGCGTCTGACACGCAAAGGGCGGCCCGTGCGCTAACGTGAGCCGACAAGCCGCGAGAAACGGTAGCATGCCGAGAACAAAACTCCCCCAAGTGCATTTTGTGAAGCGGAAACATGAATAAAACGGGGTTTTAATGACGCGACTTTGGCCTACTGACGAATGACTTCAGCCACATAGTGGACGGTTGCTTCTCGCGTTGTCGCCAGAAATCTTCACACCATGTTGACTATGGCCACGAGAATTGTTGTTGTAAATCTTAGTCGGAGAAGGCTTCCTAAATGGGCTGCGGAAGGAAATCAAACTGCAAGTATGCGCTAACATCTCACCAATCTAAAGTTGAATAAAATTCGACATACGTTTGGTGTGGAAGTGCGACTAAATTCATTGAGCTGAATTTTGTTAAATGAAGCGCACTGCCTAAACAGGCTGCAGAAGAACATTGAAACAGATGGCTGTAAGAAGATTTCGGACAGGATGCTAGCTTGGACATGATGTTAATGCTAAATAAACAGAGTGATAGTAGAAACAAAGAGTGGCAGTGCAGTCTGAATATTTATGCTGCCTTAATGGGCATGAAAAGCATCTGAGATATTATCAAGGAAAAAGCCCAACCCCCGATTCCACTGCCACCTTCTGGCTTTTTTTCACACAACAACGTCATCATCAGGTGACGACATGTCCGCCATTAAACAACCTCCTTCTCAATCAATTTCCGCATCCCGTCTCTTCTCCTCAGGGGCGGACGATGCAGCCATCAGTGCCTCTGGCTGTCTTCCAGACCATCCCGACGGGTATTAACTTTTCATCATCAGCCTAGCCAAAACGACTCCTCCACTCACTGGATCCCCCCCACACCCCCACCCCCCACACACGCACTTACACGCACACACTTTTCTATCCACATAAATGATATATAATCACAGTTGATTAAAGTCCCTGCTCCGCATCCTGGTAGAAATCTGCCAATATGCACCGCGGCCAGCAAAGTGCAAAGGAAGCAGCTTTCAGGCCCATCGCGCGCCGCCTCGGCAGGCGCGTTTGTCCGCCTGCTAATCCCTGGCACTAATGCCAGGGCATTAGGGCTGCCCCTCACTTCCTAATTGGCTAATGGCGGGATTACGCGCCGTACAATGGACACTGCTGACACTTTTTGGACACTCAAAACAGAGGGTTCAGGGCACAGGGGACAGCATTAGATCCTCCAGTGAACATGCTTCTTGTGATCCTTTTTTTTCCGCTGCCCATTTAGGCATGCTACCACCTTGTTCTCTTTACAACAAACTTACTAGTTCCGCAGTCACGACAATCTAGCCCATCACTACAAGATGCAGTTTTTTTTTTTTGTTTTTTGTAACCTTTAGAAACAGTTCTGAACCTGTTACATTTGCCTTCCGCTGCCCGTTCAAGGCACTGCCCTTCTACTTCAAAACAACACTGTGCTAATTGCAACGAACACCCTCACACATCCGAAATAAACTCACACTATTGTGACCTCTCTCCCTTCATTGAGCAGCAACAGCAGCACTAAAAACCGCGATGATTTTCTTCCACTGCCCGTTTAGGTTGCTTGATCCTGAAGGGGAAAAAAAGGACAAAAGAGGGCAACCACTTAATGGATAAGCGTTGATGCATGGCACATGTGCTGTGTTCTAATCTTTCCCCTTAAAGGCCATTAAAGTGTGTGGGCGCGCGTTTGCAGTGTCGTGATGAGGTCTAACGGGGTCTCCATCCACTTGTCACCCGCAGGCACCACCAGGCAGCCCAAGGAAGGAGAGGTCCCAGGGGTGGACTATCATTTCCTAAGCGTCCAGCGCTTTAGGGAATTGGAGAAAAGCGGCGCCTTGCTTGAGAGCGGAGCCTATGAAGGTGAGCGCAGACGACTGTGTCTGCGGCTTTATCAGAGCAAACACTTCCTCAAGCGGTCACATGGGCTCATCAGGCCCGAATTGTAAAGGACTTGGTCCCGCTCCAGCTCTCTCTCTCTCTCTCTCTCTCTCTCGGGACCTCCTGCCTTCATGACGATAACAAAAAGTTCCCAACAAAAGTCCATCCATCCTTCTTTGTGGCTTTGAGGGAAGTGATGAAATAGGGCTGCCAGAGATATTTGGCAAGTTGTTTAATGTAATCAAACAGCAGGCGGCAACACCCTCCTTCTTCAATGCACAACAGTATGAAATGGCGAAATGAAGTTATAAAAATGTTGTTGTCATTTAGAAGCATGAATGAGGATCGCCTGCTCATTCTGGGTTGTTTCCAGATAACTTTTACGGCACACCCAAGCCTCCCGTCGAGCCCGCTGCTCCGTCGCTAAATGTAACGGAGCGGCTGCTGCTGGTACCGGGCGCCAGACCCAGCTCGGAGGGCAAGCGCAAGCGCAACAAGTCGGTCAGCGACATGGAGAAGGCCAGCATCGAGCCGCCGGAGGAGGAGGAAGAGGAGAGGCCCGTCATCGTTGTCAACGGCAACGGCATCGCCCTCACGCCAGGTCAGACCCAACGGGGCGGCTGGTTTCGTTTTAATTCTATTCATTCCAGACTCTTTTTTTTTTTTTTCTGCAAGCATCCCATGATCACATGAAGGGGGCATCATAAAAGAGGCATTGAGTTGGATTTTTTTCCTTTTTTTTTTCTGATTCCAAAGCCAAAACCACACTGGGGTCCTGTGACCCATCTAAGCCGGGTTTTTTTTTTTTTTTTACGCCCTGCGAGACGTCCACAATCCCTTCACTAATAGAAAGGGTTCGTCAGTACAAGCAGCCACTGGGAGGGAGGAAGTGTGGTTATGCTTTGCGTCTGTACTTCTGTTTTTCTGCCTTTGGTTTTGCCTTTTTTTCCCCCTCCAACTAAGTCATTTGCAAAGGTTGCAGCTTTAGCTCAAGAAAACTACAATGAGGTTTTGGTTTTACCCCAAGGATCTTAAACAAGGTAGGATTGTTGATTTTATTGCTGTAAATTTAGAAGTGTGACATGTGGTGTCCTGACAATTTCTCAGTATTACCGAGTGACGAAAAATAGCAGTACAAATGGCCACATAGGTGCCTCTCTCTGTTTCTAATCTGATTTTTAAACTGGCACTCAGTTGGGGATTAGAGGAGCTTGATTTTTTTTTTTTTCCCCAAGGATAATCGGGAGTCCCCCGGATGACCCCAATTTCCCCTGCCATGTGTGCAGGTAGTCGGCTTTTTCACTCAAATCAGATTTTCTTTTCTTCCCCGAAAAATGTACAGGAAGAGTGTTTTCCTCAAGAGAAAAAAAATGTAATTTAATTTCACCTGGGGGTGAAAAATAATGAATCCAATTTGAATTATTTTGAGGCGCTAGCAGCAAAAAAACAAAAACAATTTTACAAAAATTACACTCAATAGTATTGAACTTAATAAAAACATGCAATAATGTAATACAGTCGCAGTGTTTTTTTTAAATTATTATTATTTTTTTTTTTTCTTCAGTTCAATAAACATTGTGCCGCTCCTTCAGGTGCACATACCTTGGCCAGCAGGGGCAGTATAACACATGCTACGAATTTACATGAAGAAGACGCAATATGATTATTAGTGTCGTTCTATTGTCTATGTATTGCCCCGCTGCTTATGTTCAAATATCTGTTGCCGAAAGGGTTATAAAACCGCAACGCTGACACTATTCGTTAGCCCGTCTATGGCGTTTTGTATTGTTTGTCAGCCTTAAACTGGCTTAAACATTCAGCTTTTCAAACATAACATGTAATTCTCTTTGTTTGGTGTTTAGTTTGACAGCAAACTTCCAACTGGGAGTGGCAAAGCCTCCTTGGGCTCCCCTCACGCATTTCCATCCTCATTATTCCGTCAATATTTCCCTTTTGTTGACACCGCATTCCGCTTCTCTTTTCAATCTGGATTGTTCTTCTTCCGTTTTGTCACCGTAGAGTCGAGCGAACATGAGGACAAGAACGCCCCCGGCGAGGCACCGGCCGAGGCGGACCCCGGCCGCTCCCCGAAAAGCGGCGTCCTCCCCCCCAAGCTGGAGGAGAACGACGAGTTGGGCCCGTTACCCGACAACTGGGAGATGGCGTACACGGAGAAAGGAGAAGTCTACTTCATCGAGTGAGTGACACATTGAGGACGGCTGCTCGGGTGTTTTTCTTCTTGTCGGGAAATGGCGGAACCATTTCACAGATTACAGTTAACCAGTTAATACTCATCGCAATGAGAAATAGGTTTAAAAAAAAAAAAAAGATTTTGGTTTCTTGTATATATGAATGTGAAGAACTGTGATTCAAAATGTTGAGTGAGCCACTCATTTTTTTTTTGCTGTGTAGGGAGACATAATTTGTATTTGTATGAAGAAAATAGTAACTCTGTATATTATTGGAATAATTTATTATTTTAATTCATATCTGTTTATTTATTTATTTGTAATGAAATCAAGTCTCAGCATCCAAATAATTTTTTATTGTAAATTGTGTTGTTTTTTTTTTTTTTTTTTTCGTGAGTGCATTGCTGAGCCACTCCATCTGCATTCGGTTTTAATGAGGCTGCCAGCAAATTAAAAGTATTGATCAATGTTTAATTATTTATTTACTTCCCCCTCGCTCTTTCTTCTATTCAACAAAACCTTGCAGCCGCTCAATTAAGCCTCGGCCAACCTCCCACCTCACTCGCTCTCCCTCCCTCTCTTTCTTTCACACATTCGCCCTGTTGCTCGCTCGCTCAATTCTTCTTTGTCGTGCTTTTGCGCAGCCACAACACCAAGACCACGTCGTGGTTGGACCCGAGACTCGCCAAGAAGGCCAAGCCGCCCGAGGAGTGCAAGGAGGACGGTGAGTTCCAATTACTCCTCCCTAAATTAGCTTTGGGTCAATTAAAGGCGCCGACATGACGAAAAAGTGTCTTTTATCAAGAATTTAGTCTTTTTTTTTTTCTCTTTACCGAACTAATGTGGCTTTTCCAGAATAAAAGGCGCAAAGTTTGCGAACCCCTGCGCTTGAGTTATCGTACACCCTCCCCGCACTGGCGGCGTTGAAAGGCGCGCTCGACATCACAGCCGCCTTGTCATTACATAAGCGTCTTGATATTTGCGCCTCCCGTCTCGCTCCATCCACATTGGGATGCGTCTTTGTCCCACTTCCCTTTCCTTTGCTTTCCTTTCCTTTCCGCCTGTCTCCTCCGCTTTTGGCAGATGGGAACAAGCAAGGGTGTGCTTTTGTTCCAGGCGAGCTGAAAATGTTGTTTTTTGAAAGTCTTCCTTCCCCGCCGAGTGTACGTTGGCTGGGGAGAAAAAAAAAAAAAACGCCTCCCGCCTACATTCTGTTCGACACTAAACGCCTACACGGAGGCAACGTGGAAGAAAGTATATTACAGTATCGATGTACAGGCGGCAAATAGCAATAGCAATACTAATCTTGCTTCTCTCACGATTTGGCAACAACACTCAAGCGTCCAAAATTCATTTGATAATCGTTTCTCTGACAGGACAGTATTGATACACAAGTCCGGTTTTCAATATGAGAGCCGTTCCTCATGCAATGCGGTGTCAATAAGCGAGCCCCAAAATTGCTGTTACTCTTATGATACTGTATTGAGACACAAGTCAAATTTTTGCTTGCGTTATGTCTCGAATTATACTGTATCGTTACAAGTTGAATTTTTGATACGGTGTCGATACAAATTTTCGACGTGAGAGCCGTTTTTCTGAGTGTTTCTCTTCGAGTATCGCTTCTTGGCATAGCTGCTTTTCCTGCGATGCAGTATTGATACACAAGCGTCAAATATCTAGGGGGCGCTCACCACACTTTGCGAACATCTGATATCAAAAGAAATCACGTTTCATTGGAGTGATGCGTTCACACTTGGCCATATTTCTAATATCCAAACCGAGACCACCATGACGCTTTGAATCCGCACACCGTCGACAGTTTGGGAGTCCCTGTTGGTTCAAGCAGCACTCCTACTGGCTGTCCGTCAGCTATAACACACACATACACGCGCACGCACACACGAGCAGGAAGTCCAAGCACGCACACGCACACTCCCGTGCCTCCAATCTGCCGTCCACAGGTGTGCGTGGATGTTCTGGAAATACACCCATCAATCATGGCGCTGACAACACTTCTCCTCGCCTCGTCTTGCCTCGCGCCTCCCACCCGTGACTCCGCTCAAGGTGAAGGAGGGCGCCGCTGCTTCTCGCCCGATAATAACTCACCTGTGGCGCGCGCGCACACACACAGACACACACACACACACACACACCACTGAACGTGTGGATGTGTACTGGAGCAGAATTGCTGGACCGATGGTGGTGGTCAAACGTGCTTCTTATTGACTCTGTTAGGAATTTAGTGGGGCCACAAATGCAGCCCGCTAGCATTCAGCATTGATACCAGAGGCGGGGTATCGTTAACGATACCGTGATTGTGCAGTCATTAAAATTGGACGTGCAAGTCGTGAGCATCAAAATATCGATGTTTGTCGATATTGCACGCAAAGAGAAACGGCGATCATATTTAAGTTGTGTATCGACACTGTATCGTAAGAATATCAGCGATAATTTTGCTATTTGATACAGGTATTAATATTGATATTAATACCTGAAGAGCAGATGTAATGATGATATCTGCTGCTTGTGAACAGGTGTCAACAGCGATTTTGACATTTTCTGCTCGGATGTTGACATTGACACGCAATCTTTAAAAAAGAAAAAAAAAATCTGACTTTTTTTTTTGATCAATGCAGCTTTTTTTATCACTGCAATAGCATGACAGCGATTTTATCAGTACTGTTATGAATGACATATTGGTAGTCGATGCTTATGTATCAAAACTGTATCCTGCTTGAATGTGCTGTGATAACAACTTTTGATTGTTGGTAATGATGTCGATATGTGACACTTTGGTATCACATGAGAGGTCTACATAGGCGGCCATCTTGCGAGCACCGACTGGAGCCGTAGCTGTTCCAAAGGCGGCGGTCTTAAAGGTCTTTGTTCACAAAACGAAAGGAATACCTTCCATTGCACCTTGGCGGACGTCCGTGACCTGGGAGTCTTTGTCGGCCACAAAAGAAACACTCGCTTGTTTACGAGCTCTTGTTGCCGATCAATGAGAAGGTCGGCCCGGGTCTCCGCCGACACATTTCTGCTGAGCTCCTCACTCTGCGCTCCGGAAGGAAGCACGGCTGGAATTAAATGGCTGCTTTTTCACGCGGTCGCCGCTATTTATCACTTTGAACGGGCTGGGAATTGAATCCACAGCTTGGCTAAAGGGGGCGTGTTCATGCCCGCCACATCCACACGCTTTCGCCGCACATCTGACAGGCCATTTTTAGCACGCCTCCGCATTAAAAGGTGATAAAATATGACACATGATCACCTCCGGAGACTTAAGGGAGGTGACTCAAATGGGGTGAACACTCTCGCGGGGTTATGAATCGCTTGAAAGCTTTTAAATTGATGATTTGTCGATAAAAAGATCAGAGGCAAATCGATAGCGGGCAGCGTGGGACCACGTGGTTGTGGCGCGATTCATAAAAGGGGGAAATTGCAGAGCTTGCGCAAGACATGTGCACTGATGCTGCAAAAAAAGTAAATGTCTGTCAAAAAGAAGAATCGATGTCCAAACAACACAAATACGAGCGCGCTCGTTGGACTTTTCTTTTTTTTTTTTAAAATTACAGCTGCAAATTCAGAGTGCTTCTCCTGAACGCATGATGACAGTGATGAAGAAGCAATGCTAACTTTGTTTTTGTTTTTTTTTTTTTGTTTTTTTTTAGTCAGATCAATGTTATGGTGCATTCCATGAAACTGAAATTTCAAATCTCCTCCTCGGCATTCTCAGGCTAAATCAACAGTTCGATCTTAAACTGAAAGTGAAAACAAGAGATCCAGATTTTGCCTTTTGATAGTATTTTTTTTTTTTCTTGCGAGTGGGAGGATGCAAGTATACAGGACACTGTGCGCGCGTGCGTATGCGCGCGTGTGTGTGTGTAACTAGGCCAAAGAATAATGTTATGCAAGCACTCAGTGACCATATGGAAAAATTGAGGTAAAAAGATGCCCTAGTAAATCCGAGATTCATTGTTTTGCCGTGCAGTCTCAGCGGTTTATTATTTTTTAACAAATCAAAATATGTACTGCACATTTAACGACGATTGATGAAGCCACTAGAGAAAGTAAGTTATTTGATGCACTTTTGGGGGAGGAAAAACAATTGGGCAGAATCCCTCCCAAAATGTGCAGTTTTCTTTGATGTAATTCCACCCTTCAGTTTATGTCCAATGGACTGAAGCGAGTGTTTTTTTTTAATTATTATTCTTTGATGTCTGCTTCCAGAGCTTCCGTATGGCTGGGAGAAAATCGACGACCCCATTTACGGCAGCTACTATGTGGAGTAAGTGGGCCCCATCCGAGGCGCTCGACACAAAATCTCAGATTTGTTTTTGTTTTTTTTTTGGGGCTCATAATCCATATTTCACAACCAAAATAAAAATCGATATATATTTTTTTTCTCTTTGCCGCCTCTCGCGAAGCCCGTTCTGCGGCTCGCTTACATAACATGGCGGCGGACCATTTAATTAATCATCATAGCGAGAGACGAGCCCACCGCAGCGCCTTGTCAGAACCGTCAGAGCGGATCTTTGCCGGGCTAAAAATGATATTTTTGTCATTGTCATCTTGTAGCCACATAAACAGGAGGACCCAGTTTGAGAATCCGGTTCTGGAGGCCAAGAGGAGACTCCAGCAGGAGCAGCAGATGCAAAGTCAGGGGCTCTCCTCGCTCCCGCTTCCCGCCATCTACAGAGGTAGTCGCCCACCGCTGTCTCGCGCTCGTTCATTTGTGGAAATGTGGAAATTTTTTTGTTTCCAAATCCTCTCCAGTGGACCACAAGCCACGGGCCTCTTCATTAGGTACACCTCTGTGTGCCCAGGAGCATTTTATTGATCAGCACACTCCATGTCACAAAAGTATCAGGACAGAACACTGTATGTCTTGTTGGTAGAATGTCCCCGAATTTTTCTGAAGCAAGCAATGATGGGATGGCATTGCCTGTCTCCGTGGCGACACCTCCTAGTGAGGCTCTCTCTCTTCCACCCTTGTCCTCCCCTCCAAATGTCAGTCCAAGTTGGCAGCCCCTGCGCCACCCTCCCCAGGTCCTCCGCCAACCAGGCGGGCCCGGCGCCGGAGCGCTGCCACAGCCTGAGCGACCTGTCCTCCCACTCGCCGCCCGCGGCGCGCCGCCCGGGCTCGCCCTTCGCCGCCGCCGACGTCTCCCCGTTGCGCCACGTGCTGACCCGGCGGATGAACATGAGCCCCCGCCACCATCATCGCCATCGTCACCTTCGCCATCCGCGTGCCCTCCGTAGCCCCTCACCTTTGTGCCGTTTTGTCAGTAAGTAGGTCACGCGGAGGCGGAAGAATGCGGCGCTCCTTTCGCCGTAGCATGCTAGCTCCCGATTCCCATTGAGGCGAGTGAGCTAGCAGCAAGTGTAGTCAGCAGCAAAAGAAATCATAAGTTTGATATATACAGAAGTGAAGGTGAACAGCTGCAGCTTTGTATCGAGCAAAAAAAAAAAAAATTCTAATATTCAAACTATACGTGATAAAATAGTCTATAAGATGTGGTGCTAGCTCCTGCTTCCCGTTGAGGCGGTATGACAGGAAGTGAGCCAACCCGCAGCTTATTTCCTCTCCCGAATCGTCCCAGAAACTTCTTCCCCCCCGTTGGAACTTTTCCCTGATTGACAGCACGCCATTGGCTGAATTCCCGCTGCTTCGGGAAGGGACCCCCTCCTTCCAGCGCACCCTTCCTGGCTGCCATCTTCCTTGGAGAAGAGCTGGTTGTACCTTATGCGCAGGGGCTCCGCCCCCCCTTACCTGCATTCTTATTGTCCCACCACCCACATTCCTTTCCAGTATCCAAACTTTTTTTGGACGAGCTTTCTCCCCGACCCACTTTGAAAACCCTTCAGTCCCATCCTACCCGTCACGGATGCGTTTTTTTTTTATGTGCGCGTGTAACCGCCGCGTTGCTCTGCGCTCCCTCGCAGAGAAGCCGTTGTTCACGCGGGACCCCACGCAGCTGAAAGGCAGCTTCCTGTCCACGGCGCTCCACAAGAGCAACATGGGCTTCGGCTTCACCATCATCGGCGGCGACGAGCCCGACGAGTTCCTGCAGGTGAAGAGCATCATACCCGACGGGCCGGCCGCCGCCGACGCCAAGATGGCCACAGGTAGGAGATGGCCTGACGTGACTTTATAGACAAAAGTTAATCGTGACTTTATGAGCCTCGCGACTCATCCTCTCCACCACAACTTTATTGAGTGCAACCTTTCCCCCGATTTTGTCAGCCTTTCCACAGACAACACCCCCACCACCATAACACACCTAAAAAAAAACAAAACCCTGTTCAATCCTCATTCCGCTTCCCCAGACGCGCCGTCCTACTTCTTGTATCCCACGCATAGCACACAACACAAAGTGCCGCTGCGGAGGTGTGAAATTCCCCCCTAACGTTATTTCGGCTGATTTGTTTCCCTCCCGCCTGACGGGGCCATGATGACACACGCGCGGAATCGCGGCCAGACAGGGTATGCAAATGCAGAGAGTGCGGTGGGGGATTTAAGGAAGGAGTGTAGTTTGAAGGCATACCGTCGGTCGAGCGATGACGTCTTCACTTCCCGTCACCTTCGCTGATGTCCCTGGCCGGCGTAAAAAAAAAACGATATTTAACGGCTGCTTTTATGACGCTCTCTCTTTTGGAGGTGGCTGTGCGCTGAAGGACACTTGGCGAGCACGCGCTTTGCGTTTTAATCAATGCAAAGAGGAGCTTTTACCTTTTTTTTTTTCCCACTACCATGGAGACTATGACTCCCAAAAGTAGCAACATCCTGCCTCGTGACGAAAGCAGCGACGATTTTAAGATGTTGGAGAGGAGCAAAGTTTAGCCTGGGTTGTTAGTAGAAATTACAGAGAGTCTTCCCCCACTCCCAAATACAAACTTATCAAAACTGGCCAGAGTCGCACTTTTGGCCACTAAAAACAATGAAAAGACACAGCTACAAAATGACAACACTCGCAGGGAGCAAGCCCAACTCCAGCTCCTGACCTCACACACTAGGCCACGCCCCTTGAAGGCACACATCAACTCACAAATGGTACATAATGTACGTTTATGCTCCAACAAAGCGCTGTTTTCTCCCCTGATTAAAATGTGAGAAAAACTTTTCTGGTTAATGTGTTTTCCGCAGGCGACGTGATCGTGTACATCGACGACGTGTGCGTGCTGGGCACCACGCACGCCGACGTGGTCAAACTGTTCCAGTCGGTGCCCATCGGACAGAGCGTGACGCTGGTGCTCTGCCGCGGTTACCCGCTGCCCTACGAGCCCGACGACAACAACGCCAACAGCGCCGCCCCCGCTGCCATCATCTCCCCGCTGGGCATCATGGAGCAGCGCCCCCTGATGGTAAACGGTCGCCAAGGCTACGACAACTACCTGGACTACATCTCCCGCACGGCCCGCTTGGTCCCGGACGCCGGTCAGGATCACCAGCAGCTTCCCGACACCCACCCGGACACCCCGGACGGCGTCTCGGTGGCGTCTCAAGGCGAGTTGCTGACGCTCACCCTGGTGAAGGGCGCCGACGGCTTCGGGTTCACCATCGCCGACGGCGCCGCGGGGCAGCGCGTCAAGCAGGTCCTGGAGCCGGCCGGGTGCCCGGGGGTCAGCGAGGGCGACCTGATCGTGGAGATCAACAAGCAGGCGGTGCTGGGCTTCACGCACGCCCAAGTAGTGGACTTGCTCAAGGAGTGCGCCGTGGGCGCCGAGACGTGTCTGGTGGTGCAGAGACCCGTGACAGGTAAGCGCGAATGCGGGTGGCGCTGCGACCAGGGAAAAGTAGAACGAACTGCTCAGCGAACCCGGCTTTGGCGCCACCTTGTGGCATCATAGGACGTTATAATTAGTCGACAACAAACGTGCGAGGCGTTACTGTCGCTTCATTCAAGTACAGTGTTTCTTTTCTATCCTGAGTGGCGAATAAGTGCAGTGCAAAGTCATCATTTTCCTCACAACTGCCGATCGAAAACGCAAGCGTTTGCGCTCGTCTTGGTTTTGGCTGCCGTATGTGCATTCGGCGTAAGAATGAACGTGTTTTCTTTGGCTCTTCTGCTGAGTGAGCTTTGTTGTGCCATGAAGATGGTCGCATCTGGAAATGGTAAGAACCAAAGCATCTGAGTGTCTTCTTGCGGTGGTTGCTTCCTGTACATGAATGTTAGAATTAAGGCGAGTTTTCTGCTGAGCATTCTTGATTGATGAAGATGCTTTCCGCACATGAGTAGTAAGAATTAAAGCATCTTTTTGTCTTCTCGTGAGGATTTTTGGTTCGGTCCATGAAGGCGGTCGTGAGCATGAATGGCAAGATTCAAAGCTTCTTCTTAGTGTCTTCTGCTCAGGAGTGCTGCTTTGTGAAAATGATGGCTTACGTGAATAGTAATAATTAAAGCGCATTGTTGATTTTTGACAAGGACTGGTTTGCTTCATGGTGCTGGTCGCATCCGTTAGTAAGAATTAAAGTGTCTTCATGCTGATAATTGTTGATTGACCAAGTTTGTTGCGCGCAGAAGCAGTCAGAATTAAAGCCCTTTATGGCCCCTGTTGTAATAGTTTCGATTTTTTTTTGGGAGGTGTAAAAATGTGTTTGTTCTCTCGCATCACATTTCAGGTCGCTATTCACCGTGGAAGAGCCGCAAGCAGGTAACGCACGCCGGTCTGCTCAAAGCTGCCGCTTGCCCATTTGTCTGCTTTTTAACAGGACGACACCTGGACATGCTACACTAACGATACTCGCACTTCAATTTCGTCTTTTCCAAGCCTGCCTTTGCTCCCGGGGGGGAGGGCTTTGGCGTCATCTTGTGCCATTTCAGAACGAGCATAAAAACTGCAAATAGGTTTTTCAATGAATATCTAAGAATAGGCCTCCTCCTGCACCGCCACAAAAAAAAAAAAAGAAACGAGTTGAAATCTTGAATAGTAAACCATGACTAAGATGGAGTCATTTGCATATGTTGTCAGCACCCAAAATTTTTTTTTAATACGTGGCTCGTGTCGCACTTCCTGCGGCGTCATCTCGGTCCGTCTGTTCGGTGTCACGCCACCTCTCATCTCATCGTATTAGCGCCTTGGGGCTCGCTTTCCACAGACCCAGTGTCACGCGCACACGCACACACACACACAGCCACCTTTTGCTACGCTGCTCATGCTAACATCTTATGTCATCATTAAACGATGACATGTGACAGTGGCACGACGCTTCATTAGGCGCACCTGCACAATATGTCAAGAATGATCAAGTTAAACGGGATAGAATAAACAGATTGTTGCACGGCCCGCCTATCTATTTTAATAACGCAACTAATAACGACGCTCACCTTCTTGGCTTCCTGTCTGTCTGAAAGTGACCGCCCGAAAAAAGTGAAATAAATCGAATCGTGACAAAGGTTGAAAAGAGGCCCATCCATCCGTGCCGCCGCTGTGCTTTCCAGGTGTCGGAGCAGCGGGAGCCCCCCCATGGCCCGAGCAGCCTGTCGGCTCCCGTCATGTCCCACAGCGCCCCCTACCCAAACCGCAACCACCAGCTCAACCAGCAGCAGCAACTCCTCCACAGAGCCTCGGTGCCGGACTCGGCCTCCGAGGCTCTGGCGCTGTCCAAAGCCGAGCCGTTCGGCCTGTACGAGAACTCCCGGACAATCTTTGAGAGTAGGCGTAAGTACCAGCGGGCGGACGATCCAGCGAGTGGCAATAAACAACCGTTTGCCTCCTTTTGACACAACCCTTTATAGACTCCCAGAAGTTTGACGTCGTAAAAACGTTGTCAATAAACACTGGAAACAACACATGATGTTCTTAGCCGTGGATTATAAAATAGTGAAACTTCTTTTTCGCTTGTAAAACTTTTCCCCTGCGGTCAACAAGAGTGTGACTAGCTAGCTAAAAAAATAAATAAATAAAAAAAACACAACACTTTACACGTACTATTCTTAAATGCTGCAAATGATGGGAACTGATTCAAATAATATTTTCTCCCCTGACGCGGCGAAATAAAATACGCCTGTTGAGATCGGACATTATCTGTGAGATATATTTGTTAGCGTCCATGAGGAAAGGCTCATTTATTGGCCGCAGGCATTTTTGTGGCTTTCGTGTTTCACGTCTGGGGCCAGAATGCAATGTTTGGTTTTTTTGGGGTGCCATTTGCATATTTGGCCACTAGGGACAGCAGACTGTCATGCTGCTTTTTGGGGGACACTAAAGATCCAGAAGCGGTCCGTGTCCTGGTTATCTTCTCTCACGTGGCTTTGCTTGACGTTGACATTTTTCGGTTCTCTTCAGTGAAAATGACTTTGCACTGCAAAATGTCGTCATGCATGTTTTCCACCGCGCCTGTTGTCGCCGCAACTCCATTTTGCTCGGATCGGGTTTTTGGTTGCCTACGCTGGAGTTGATTTGAGTGGCGTGTTGGTGCGTGGAGCTGATTTTACTCGCACACCCAAGCGGGAAACGAGTGACGGCTATATTAGGCACCGTAAGCTCTCGCTGACTTTTATGGATGACGACGTGATGTTCATGCTGAGCGGGGCCTTCCCAAACGTCTCGTTCCCACAGTATTTGCGACTTATTTATGGTTTATGGAGCACGCTTGCCTCGTTTTCTGTGCAGAATCGGGACCCCCGAGGACAACTTTTCCCGCAGACGTCTCGTCAGGTAGAGGCGCTCGGTCGCTTCCCGAGCAGACGCCGCACGAGCACGCCGCTCACCCCGCCATGGGCGTTTGTCATCCAGCAGAGTACCAGGACATGGAGGTCAACTTGCGCAACCACAAGTCCGGCTTCGGCTTCAGGGTCCTGGGCGGGGACGAGGCGGGCCAGCCTGTGAGTCCGGAAACACGTGAGAAGGCTCGTATGGAACTACATGTGGCATTACAGTAGGCAGGAAGTGGTTCATCAGTGACTTCCTGTACTTATGTGTCCATTTTGTGTTTTTGCCGCCAGATCTTAATCGGCGCCATCATCGAGAAGAGCCCGGCGGACGTGGACGGGCGTTTGCGTCCCGGCGACGAGCTCCTCTTCGTCGATGGCATTCCCGTGGCGGGCAAGCCGCATCGCTACGTCATCGACCTGATGCACGGCGCCGCGCGCAACGGACAAGTCAACATGGTCATCAGGAGGCGGAGGCAGGCCGCAGGTTTGTTTGCGGACTACTCCAGAGGGAGTTCGCCCAAAATAATCGATTGCGGATCTCGATTAAACGCCCCCCCGGGTAGGCGACTCGTGCCAGGAGAACGGGCGCCACTCGGGCTCGTTGTCCACGCAGCACAGCTCGCCGCGCAGCGACCCGACGTACGCCGACGGCGCGCCGCCCGCAAACGCGCAACCGAGCGACGTCCTCATCCACCGGAAGGAGAGCGAAGGCTTCGGCTTCGTCATCATCAGCTCGCTCAACCGGCCGGAGGCGCCTGCCACCAACCGTGAGACACACTCAAGTATCCGGACGCCGCTCCGCTAAGGGGAACCTGTCGTTGACTCGCCGCGCCTCGCGTTGCGTCCGACAGCGGTGCCGCACAAGATCGGGCGCATCATCGAGGGCAGCCCGGCCGACCGCAGCGCCAAGATGAAGGTCGGCGACCGCATCCTGGCCGTCAACGGGCAGTCCATCGTCAACATGCCGCACGCCGACATCGTCAAGCTCATCAAGGACGCCGGCCTCAGCGTCACGCTGAGGGTCATCCCGCAGGAAGGTCAGACACACGAGGGGGACTTTCCGCAGACGTCTGATTGGATCAAAGTGAACAAAACGAACAAACTGACTCGGCTCTACAAAAGGAAAAAAAAACCCAGCGGATCCAAAATAAGATATTACAATCAGTATTTCAAAAAAATACAAAAATATTTCCAACATATTTTTTGCCAATATATACATCAGTGTATTCGCTACCCTTGAATGGCAGTCTCTGACTTCCTTGCAGTGGAGGTGAGCAACCCGCCGTCAGTGCCCACCTCGGAGAAGCAGAGCCCCCTGGCCCAGCAGCAGCAGCAGCGGAGCCCCAAGACGCAGCCGGCCGGCGCCGCCGTCAGCTCGCAGCCCAGCCCGGGAGCCGCCGAGTCGGCCCAGTCCCACGCCAAAGCACACCAGAGCCCCGTCAGCAGCCAGCTGCCCGCGCCCCCGACGCACACGTACCCCCACGAGGGCAGGTAGGACCCAAGCCTCAGCACAACAATTAAACCACCCCCAAAAAAAGAGACTTTAATGATAGAGTATTTTTTTTTGCTAATATTTAACTTTTTTCTTAATTCAAATTACACATTTATTTTGTTCTGGTGGCATGTAAACAAACCACACGATTTTGTGGATTTTATTAAATGATAAAAATTATGAACACATCATTTTCTTCGTGAAAATCATCATTTTTATCCTCAAATTTCCCCAGTTACAGATCGGAGGTGAAAGCCCGCCAGGACGTGAAACCGGACATCCGGCAGCCATCATTCACCGACTACCGGCAGCCGCCTGTGGACTACCGGCACCCCCCGGTGGTCGACTACCGCCAGCCGCCCACGTTGGACTACCGCCACCCGCCCCTTTTGGACTACCGGCCGCAGTTCGCCATCCCGGACTACCGGATGCCGCCCGTGCAGGTGAGAAGCGGTAAGGTTTTACGGATGTCTTCTCCCCACCGTCACGGTGGTAACGGCCCGTTTGCCATCAGCTCTCGCAGGACTTTGACTTCTTCACGGTGGAGCTGGAGAAAAGCGTCAAGGGTTTCGGCTTCAGCATCCGCGGAGGTCGGGAGTACAAGATGGATCTGTTCGTCCTCAGGCTGGCCGAGGACGGCCCGGCGCTACGCAACGGCAGGATGAGGGTACGCGGCACCCGCACACGCAAGCCAAAGCTGGCAAGTTTGTGTTCTTCGCACATCGTGCGGGGTCACGGACTACGTTGGCTGATTGTCAGGTGGGCGACCAGATCATCGAGATCAACGGCGAGACCACGCGGGACATGACGCACGGACGCGCCATCGAGCTGATCAAGTCGGGCGGCAGGCGGGTGCGTCTCCTCTTGAAGCGGGGCACGGGACAGGTCCCCGAGTACGGTGAGTCGGCACGCCGTCTCCCGGCGCCACGTCCTCGCTAACATCACACGGGTGACGACGCGCTTGCGGCTAATCTCGTCCCTCTCAGCGCTAACCGCCGTGGTGTCACTAACTAATTGCTCTAGGTTGTCGCCCTCCCCCCTTCTTTAGGAATGGTATCTTCCGCTCACTCCATGTGCATGAAAAGTGACACGCATGGCGCCCCCTATTTCGTCCTCATGGGGCACCCCAAGGACACGGTTTGTGACCGAGCCAAATCTTCTTCTTCTCACCCCTCACTCACGCTCGTTTTGTGTGTGTTCCTAATGTTTTGACCCTCTTCCGTAGACAAATAATATTAGAAACAAAGCTCTTGGTGTGCTGTTTTTTTTTTTTTTTTTTTAATGGGGCACAACCCATTCATTTGCATACCAAATTGTTATGCAAATTATCTGGAGGTGTTTTTTTTTTTTTCGTTAGTGCTTTAATGCTACGTATTGGTGTGGTGTTGCATCATTGTTTTTGTTTGTTTTTGTTTGTGTTTTTTTGTATCCAGCTAAAATTAACTAAAACGCTATTTGGACAAAAGTATTGGGACACACAATAAATTTTAAAATGATGAAATGTTTATCTTCATCCTTCATTTCGGGATCATTACATGTGTCTCGGACACATTCCGGAATCTCCTAGAAAGTCCTACGAGTGGTGGTCGTGTCCCGATACTTTTGCACACGTTTTCAGTTCAACCAGCAAAGTGTCTGTCTTTAAAGGATCTTTGAGTTGCCATAGTAACCATGGAAGTCTGGCCTTATGAGGCCACACACTCTCCAAAGTCGTAGATATCACACAATGAGTTGTTGATGCAAAGTCTGCTTTGACTTGAGGACTCGGTGGGATCATCACGATGTAGAAGTGCTTCTCTGTGGCATGCGTTTTTTTTTTTTTTGGTTTTTTTACGGCACGCCTGTTGTTGCGTGGCATGCATCAGCTGCGTTCTTTTTCGTCAGCCCTGACCCGTCCCCGCCGCGTCCCTCTTCCAGACAGTGGCGCCACTTGGGACGCTCGGCCTTCAGCCTCTCCAAGCTTGCCGGAAGTAACCGCGCCGCTCGACAGCTTTTTGGCCGCGAGCGTTGGGAGCGACGGCGGCCGTTCCGCCTGCGAAGGACGCATGGGCGAGGAGCGCCAAGCCGCGCCAGGACGCTCCACCGAGAGAATTCCCGGAGAAAGCGGCTTTCCTGTCACGACCGCTGTGCATGCGAACGGGAAGAGCAGGCCGGGCCCGGAGCCCGGGCGGGAATCGGCGGCCAGAAAGTCCGCCGTCTCTCCGGGGCCCTGGAAGATCCCCGGATCGGACAAGCTTCCCAGCTCGCTGCGGGCGCAAACGTCGGGCACATAACGGATTAACCTACCCAGGAAAGCGGCGACCGCTCCTCGACTCCTCCTCTTCGTTATATTTATTCGAGTACGGACTAAATTATTGGACACCCTCCACCTTAAAAACTGGACGTTCATCCACTTTTCTTTGGAGAAATCTGCAGAACTGAGAAGCAATCAAATGTAAGCAGCTTTTTTATACGACAACTTGGACGTGAAGGGGTCTATTTTCTCGGACTTTGCCTTAAGCGGACTGTGTGGGCCCAACAACTATGAGCGTGTAAATAACACAGAAGGCTGAGAAACGACGCCGAGGAGGGCATGGAGTGCCTTAGGAAGGAGCGAGGGGCGGAGCGTAGACGTTTTTTAACAAAGGCTGCTAGTAACCCCGACCACCACACATGAAGTACTGTGAATTTGATTATGTCGCCAGCTCGTGTACTTTTACGTCCCGCAGGTCTTCAAGTGTGCCAAAATGGCTTTGCTCTTGTGCATTTTTTTTTTTTTGTACAATCAAGTCCGTACCGCCAACGTTTTTAAAGCAGGAGATGTTGTCTCGGTTGCCACGGCGATGACGGACCGTCAAGCAAGCACAACTTGGAAGCGTCTGTCCTTTTCATCACTTTTGTTGGGCAACAAAAACCAAAACGTGTGTGTGTGTGTGTGCGCGTGTGTGTGAGAGACACACAGCTCAGAATCACTGTGTCGTGTGAAACAAACAGAAAAAAAAGAAAAAACACGACTCTGTTCTATCGGCAGTCACCAAGACTTGTAGGTATGCAGAGCAATTATTTTTATGAAGAAAAAAATCAGCACTATGAAGATATTAACTTGTTTTTTTTTGTTGTTGTTGTTGCCAGAAATCTTGTATGATCCTCTGAAGAATAAAACATTGACACAACAATAGTCAAGCAATGTGCTAAGTTACTGTGGCAAAAACATGGCAAACTTTTTTTCATTCACGGAAAGCAATATTATTGCATGTGGGTTAACTAGTCGTAGTTTTATTAATTCGTATGCCGAATTAACCGGGGCGATTCATAAAATAGCTCCGAGGCATTGTACCACATTTGAATTGTTGTAGTGTCCGCGTTTGTCCACACGAGGGAGCACTGACTGAAAAAGTCATTGTCTTTCTCCAAATGTCCACTGGAGGTCGGTGTTGAGCCATTTTCCGACCGCTTGTCTTGCCTGGTCACGTTTGACGTTTTCGTGAGTCACGAGTACAGTATTCATTTCTGTTTCAAAGGCGTCTTCTGTGTTGTGCAATGTCGGATAACACTTTCTCCCGGTGTGGTTTACCGTCATGACGCGTCAGTTCCTCTTCTGCCCCCCCTCCCTTCCGTTCGCGCTTCCTCTTAGTCTTGTTGATTTTTTTTTTTTTATTCTCATGGGGGTTATTCAAAAGAGCACGCGGTCACAATTTTGATCGCTGTTGTATCATACATGCGTTGCATCAATATAAAAACAAATAGAGCCTCCCAAAACGTTTGTTTCATCCACAAATCCACCGTTTTATGTTATAATAGTTTGTCCATGCATGTTGAAGTGACTCACAAAACTTGTTTTACTGGATGGAACAGCCGATCGTGGCAGCGCAAACCCGCTGAATTCCAACAAGTACATATTTCCATTTTATGTGACGTTTTTACATGTTTTCTGCTTAATGTATTCACTCTTTTTCATACCGACTGCACCCTGCGCAGTCTTGCCAGTTTTTTCACAGTTTGGTGTCAGATCGGATCGCATCACAGAAGTCATCTGCAGAGATGACAGTTGGGTTCTGGAGCCCCAAAAGGCCTCGCTGAGTGGTAGGTTGTCTATACAGCGACTGGTCTGTATCGAAACATGCCTGCACATTGACGCATACTTCACATTCTCCCGACACGGCTGCTGCTCAGCTTGTTCTGTGAGGATCACTTGCACGCGCTTATCCTCGTCATCAACGAGAAAGCTTATAGGTATTCTCAAACCTGCAGAGATATCTCCCGGGCACAGGTTGTGTCCTGCGTTTAAAAATATATTTTCTGTAAAAGAGAAGAGCCTGCACGAGTTTCAGACGTTTTCTGGAAATCAAATTATTCTGCCCAACAAAATTCCAGTGGCCATTCTTGAAAACCAACACAAACAGGTGTAATATCGTTTACGTGCATCCATTTTGGTTTTTGGCACACCCCGAATCAATCAACGTGAACAATCACGGCAGACGAATATTCTTTTAACCTCCAAGAAACGCCCTCCTGCGTCCGTACCGAGAAGTTCTCCGCCAGTCGGCGAAAATTTCATCGGCATTTGGTCGCGGAGAGCCAAACAGACTCGAAGGAAGGGGTGGGGCCACGGGTGGGGTGACACGAACTGTACCCGCTCAATCAGAGTTGCGCGGGGCGGGCGGCTACCACATTTGTCGTCGTCGGGGACGGGCGGAGGTTTTTCTTTTTTTTTTTCCCTTCCTCAGCGACGGTGGTGGGAGCATCCGTGTTGGTCGAGAGGGGCGGCCGGTGGGAGGAGGCAGAGAGACCGCAGCAGACGCGCCGCACTGCCTCTTGACAGCCGCCAGAGTTCGGAAGCAAGCACGCCGCTCATGGCTACGGTAAGAAGCCGTTTAATCTGACGATTTTCAGACGCGAACGGGTCGAATGTCGAGTCGGGGACCGTGCGGGAGCGAGGCGGAGCGGCGGAATTCCGTGAATCCCAGCCTCCCCACCCCGAGCATCTTCG